AGGGTTTACTTAAGGGAAGGGGTTTCCGTAAGGGAAAGGAGGTTTCTTAAAGGAATGGATTTACTTTAGGTAAAGGGTTTCCGTAAGGGAAAATGAGTTTCTTAAAGGGAAATGGTTTCCTTAAGGGAAAGGATTTCCTTAAGTTAAGGGAAAGAGATGTTCTTATCGACAGTCAACAATAAAAGTGCTTCACAAAGATCTGCCAAGTATGTCTACGAAAGCAAATGGAGAATTCCTGCACATAGGTGACAATAATACACCCAAATATGCTGTCTTCAAGCGAACGAGTATTAAGTTTCACTTAATCAAGTAAACCCAAGGATCAATTCCACAATTGCACCACTATTTATAAAAGAAAAGGAGTGTGTAACATTAACAATACAGCTGCTCAACACTCACGGTAAAGCTTTGCGGTCACTCCCCGACACAACGCTCTGTCTGTCTCCACGAAACTTTTCTTAGTCTGCCACTCTACGGCGCGCCAAAACAGTTTGGCCAGAATGCGCGCGAACGCTGCCTTATATACCCCATTCTAAAAATAGCGCAAAAGCTATGGCGGGCAAATGAAACATATAAAAAGTATGGAGCGCCGATTACATTTCGTTACAGTACCATCCCGTAAACCAGATGTGTATAGAAAGGGAGATCCGTTGTCATTAGTAGTACTAATTCCCGCCATTGCCCTGTAGAAATGCTTAAGTCTTACATATCAATTGCTTAGATTTTGGATCCAGATTCATTCACATTCAGAAATGTCTCCAAATTAAAAGTTGGTTACAAACTGCGAGACGTCAACAAACCGTTGTCATATTCCAGAGTGAGGGAATTGATTTTAGATGCCCTCAGACCGCTTGTTGAGGATGTTTCAACATTTGGGGTGCATAGCATCAGAGCGGGAGGCGGCACAGTTGCAGCCAATCTTGGAATTCCTGATCGCTTATTTAAGCGGCAAGGTAGATGGAAATCAGGAAGTGCAAAGGATGGATATGTTCAAGATACTAATGATAGTTTATTAGCGGTGTCTAAAGCTTTGGGCCTATAGTTTATAAAGTGTTGGGGAAGATGCCATGGTTCCCATGTCAAATTTGACTTGAGTGGTAAAAAACGTTTAATTATTGAAATTAAAATATTATTTTGGAAAGAAGTAATATCGAGCACGGATTTTGAGTTGTAATCGTACTTACTGTCCGCATGTCAGGTTGAAATTGTTTAAGGAGCAATTATAATAAATTCATAAGATGTTTATTTCAATATTACTGTTGAAGTTAGTTGAAGATACACAGAGAGTATCCACACAAAAAATTCACCTGGAAACAGTTGATTTAAATGTAGCGCGACAAAACTTATGGTTAATGATAAATAAGAGTTCATATTTTTTGGCATACTGGTGTCTGACACGAGGCTATATTGCATCAGTTCAGACCTACGTTTCTTATCCTCAAGTGGTGAGTTTTTCGTAGCTGGCTATATAGTGGTTATGCCTGTACAATAAATAAGGTTAGAGCGTTAAGATGAACAGTTAATGCGTAGCATGTACATAATGTCGCCCCTCCAGTGCCCAAATACACTGACAGACTCCCATATAATATGGATTGTGTATATTGTCATGAAGTATGATGGTGTGTTTATTTTGTGTGATGAGTTGTCCATGAAAACAGGTTAGGGAAAAATGTCCTTATGTTGCCCTGCTGTGGGATTGGGCCACATACGTGGGTGTGCGTGTTTGTGGGCCTACGTTCGCTATTTCCCCAGCAGTGGGTTTTTTCGCCGAATGTCTAAAATTCTCAAATAATAATGACACGCTTATTTGGTTTGTGATTTCAGTCTTATTAAAGTGGCGAATTTGGAAGTCCCGCTGTCCAGTCTTATTCGATGGGAACTTCACAGTCTTACGTTCTTCTCAGTCTTTTCTTTTCAAGGACATAGAGGCGGATTTCTTGCGTCTGGATGGAATTTCTCTCTGGAAAACTGGCGGTTCTGTTGTCGTCTGCATTTAGTTCTAGCTTGTCCGCAATGGCTTTGATACCACTTCCCCATATTTTCTTTAAGTTAGTGTAGCTTGAAACTGAGCTTGTCAGGGTAAATTTTAGTTCCCTTTTTTTTCTCTTTTTTTTTGGGGGGGGGGGGGGGAATAAAAACGTCTGTCCCCTGGAAAGATCAAGACATCACCGATGCTACGGGGAACCCTTTAGGATCTACTGCAGCGGGACAGGCGTATCCCCATACTCCGGTTTGGGAGATTTACTAAGTATCCTTTATTTTGTTAATTGCCATTGTTCTGTTTTTTCTCCATCTGCTTTATGTCTTCTTTTGTTATGCTTTTTCTTCAAGCACAGTTCGTAGGGTCTTTTCCATGCTGGCGGTCGAGTCGCGCCATTGGGCCTGTTCCTTGCCGGCGGGCGGGTAATGCAATTGTGATGCCTGCTCGTCGTTTCAGCAGGTGTGGTGATGGCTCGCATAACAGGTGTTGAGGGGACGCAACGGACTGTCTCCTTCCCTTTTGCAGCCGACTTCAATTCAGAAATACCTGTTTTTCAGTAGAATTTTTCCTCTCTTTTTACTTGCAGACCATTGGTGCTACTGGCAGGAGTATACAGCCAGGGAAACTATATCCAAGCTTCTTGCTTCTCTGTATTTCTGTATTTTTTTGCAACCAGGTTCTAAAGTGTTTACAAAAGTTTTGTCTGGATTTTTGTCTTTGTGTGTTGTTATTCCTTGCCTTTTTACCTTATTGACTGTGTATCCTTTTTAAGCTCTAATGTTATGTTATCTCCTTCGTCTATTTGTGACATTTTAGTCGTTCGTTGATGTTTTCCTTTCTCAGGTTTTATTGTGTTTTTAGATGTTGGTTTTTATACCGGTTACGGGCAGGGGGGCTCAAAACCCCACGGCGGCCACTCCCCCGGCGCTTTCCACGACTGGGATGGAGAAGGAATTACTCCCCACAGAATGTTTGAAATGTAACACTTTGTCTGGTCCATATAATTCCTTCTTCGACTTGTTTCAATTGTAAAGGTCCTTTGGGCAAGAACTACCGTCTACTTGAGTGCACGACCTGCCGGGGTATGAACGGCCCCCAGCCCTCGTCTGCAGCGGAGACGGCTGAAATACCTGCAAAGCCCCGAAGGCAGACGGTGGTTTTATTAAAGTCAAAAAGACGAAGGCTATACCAAGAAGCGTAATCGCCCTCCTTCAGGCTCTCCCACCAGCCGAAATGTGCTTATAATTAAGGACCTCTTTGGGTCTGATCGGGAAGTGTCTCTTCAATGGCGGATGAAACTCGAAAGCAGGAAAAAGTTAAAGTAGATTCAACCTCGCCTCTGATAGACCGGCCTCCCCCAGTTCTCTCCTCTGACCCGTACCCCTACTTGTCTGCGAACGAGTCGGCGCCGGAGGAAGACCCACCTGTTCAGCGAAAAGTCACCAAACATCTTAATCACTTAAACTCCATGGTTTAAGTGAACCTGTTAGTTGCTGGGTATGGTCCGGCAGCCAGAGGGGTGAACCATGTTTTGTTGGAGAATGTTTTTCCGTTTCTTTCAGGGGGAGGCTACCCCGTTGAAATGAGTGACAACCAGCAGCCAAGTGTTCGTTGATTTGCGAGCAGCTTTGGAGTACAAGGTATATCAAAGACCAAACATGTTCATCTGAATTTGGCATTGAAATATTATATATTTATAAACCACGCTTACGCCTTTTTGTACATCAAGGGAGCAGAGAGACAGCTGGCCATCTTTGACGAGGAAAGACGTACAGAGATCTTCCAAGAGTTAGGACTCAGCGTTTGGGTATCATTTTGACCAGAAAAAGACTCTACTGAAGATTTAGTCACGGTTTTATTAGTGCACAATTGTGTAAGATGTCAACGAGTGGGTAAGCAGTATGGAGTAAAATGATGCTTTTTTCTTTGTAACATAGAATCAGTTTTTGCGAAATTTTTGTTGAATTTTGGTGAAGAATGTTCAAAACTTCAGAAAATTAAACCCACCACCCTGTTGGTGGCTACGCAGCTATGATGTGGAATAAGGGCATGGTAAAAAGAGGGCACTCTTTTTTTGAGAACAAGGTATTTGATCCATGTGGGTTTAAGCTTGAACGTTCACAAAGTGAACGGGGATTGTCATTAAACCAACACTCATGATTTGTTTCTCAATCTACATGTTTCCAATATTGTAGATTCACCAGTGCACCAAATGCCAGGGGATAAAAAAGATCAAAACCGCCGCTCCCGATCTTCAACCCATCCCTGTGGTTGGCGGTCCCTGGGTCATCTTGGGCATCGACCTGATTTACCCATTCAAGCAGTCAAAGGCTGGCAATCGGTATGTCCCGACTGTCACGGACTACTACACCATGTGGCCCGAGGCGATGTCGATCCCGCGAAAGGATGCTGTGAGTGTGGCAAAGTCCCTCGCCAGTTTATTTTGCAGGTGGGTGCATTTCCAAGATTTTATGTGTGCAGGAATTGATGTATGGGTTATCTTGGTTAAATTAGAAAGTATTGCAGAGTTATGTATTAAAGCTATTTTTTTTTCATTACAGGCGTGGTGCACCGAAAGACTGTCTCTCAGATCAAGGCAGGGAATTCTGTAACCAGGTAAAATTATGTACTGGTTCGACAAATTTAAAGGGGAAAAAAGGTTTATTAGTCATCCATATTTCAGTTGCATTTCTCTACTAGTCTATTTTTATGAATGAAATAATCTATTTTAATCTGTAGCTCAAATACAAATGTTCTCTAAAAGTTCTCTGAGGAATTGTATCAGCGATGGGGTATTCGCCCCCGCATAGCTCTGCCTACCAACCTCAGACCAATGGCGTTGATGAGCAGTGGAATCAGACACTGCAGGCTTCCATTGCCAAGTTATTGATTAACGACACTGGTTAATGACAAGCAGGATGACTGGGCGGACTAACCAGGTAATTCTATTTTTCTTTTAAACGAGCCTCATGTACTGTTTCAGCTGCCAACATGTATGTTAACATTTATTTCGTGTATTGTTTGGTGACTTGATAAACCTCATATCTTTGTACAGACCCTGTGCTGTATGCTTATCGGACTTCGGTGCTGGCAACCATTTTTTTTCCTGATGTACAACAAGAAGGCGAGATTGCCATGTGAGGTAAGTTACTCTTATGTCATCAGACTGTGTAATTTGTAAAATACATGTACAGACGTGTTTTTTTAATTATGTTGGGGTTAAATGAAGAAGTTCTTAATTAATTTCTAATTTCAGCTTAACAAAGACGAGCCTCAACCTAAGGAGCACCTGCCGCTCCAGACTTTGATGCTCTGCGAGAATTTGCAAACATTGTGACAAAGAAAGCGAAAGTCGTTATCATTTTCCAAACTCAACATTTAAAAAAAATGTTGTTTTACTCGTGAATTCTTGACACATTTTGAGCCTTTTGTTTTTCCAATACAGGTGCAGGAAAACATCAAGGTTACTCAAGAAAAAAAAAAGAAGGCCTATGCGAAGCGGAAAGGCAAGAACGTGAATGCGTTCCAGCTGGAGGAGGGCATGTTCGTCCCGAAGAGAAACTACAAGAAAATTGGACGCAAAGGCAGCAAGATGGAACCCAATTGGATTGGACTATGCAGGTAAATACTGTTGGTGTTTTTGATATGAAAAAAAATGAATGAAAGCGCTGTTGAAAAATAATTCATTGTTGTATTCACAGTAGAGTTATATACTAACAAATAAGTTGTAATCCTTACCAAAGAAATGTTAATCCTTACCCATAAAAGAATACATGTATATTAACATAAAAAGAAGGAAATTACTTTAAGTCGGAGCTAGACAAGCATTATGTAAATGTGTAAAGCCACTTTAATTCTTGTATTGGTATTTCTATATTTTTAATTTACAGGATCTCCAATATCAGTGACAACAACGTTGTTACACTCAAGAGTGGGGACGGCCGATTAAAGCTGAAAAACAAGGTGCAGAACGAACACCTGTAGCTTTCGTAACATTGACTCCAACATCCCCAATGCAAAGAGCAATTCGGGTGGTAAGTCAAATTTCGTAAACCATTAAGGCCGGCTTTTACTCGTCAACAGGCAGCATCGAGCTGTTTTCATGTTCTCCCAATGTGTTTTTAGCCCAGTGACCTTAATTAAAAGCGATATTACATTATTGTGTTTGACAGGTCCTGAGCAGCAGGGTAATGTTGAAGGAGAGTGTTCACTCAGTCTTGAAGTGGAAAGTGGTAAAAACTTTTAATCCTTCAATTATCAGGTAACTGAGTATTTTTCTAAACGCCTCGAATTTCTAATACTCTTTAGCAAATATTTTTTTTCTTTCAGGCTGTAGTTCAGAAGAGCCACCCGCTGAAGAAATCGTCGATCAAGAAAGGGGCAAACAAAGCAGAGGTAACTTTGAGATGGAGACTTGTGAAGTTCATCCACTTTAAAGAGTACGGTAATTGTTCAAATTGTGTTAACACCATGTGTACAATTTTGCCATTGTCTTTTATTATCCTACACTACAGGTCACCCGATGATGTAATGTATCCCAGACGTCTGTGATGACGGTGTTGAAGTTGTCAAGATTGGTAAGAGGGTCATCTTTTGTCTAGTGGAAAGGAGTGTTCTTACTTGCAATCATGGAATTTGCTCTCTAAGTTTAATGTAACTTTTTTTGTGTGTGTGTTTCTCATTTAAATGCAGAGAAGAGACGTGCCCCTCATGTTGACTGGGTTCCACAGCCAGCGAAGCGCATCAAGAAGACCCCAGAGACTGCCAGCACAGAGGAAATCATCAACGGTTCATGTTTAAGGGCTTTCAGAGCGTCGTGACCCTTCGTGCAGGTAGTGCTGGAGATTAAGTGTTGACCAGTGGTCGCCCTCTTGTGCCAATTATAAATGTGATGCGACCAAGCTACGTGAGTCGTTTGTCGGGAATTTTTATTTGGAGATACAGGCCAAAATAGGGGCCACTTGATCACATTACTTTATCACATCTCTTAGTGATCCGACTTCCATAATTTTTTAACTAAATATGGTATCAGCATGCAGTTTTCACTGCAGTATTGCTGGGATGGTGCTCTATTCAAATCGGTAATAAAATATTTTTGACCAAGGTCGGCAAACGACTCGTGTAGCTTGATCGCATCACAAATGTCGTTCTGTCGAACGTAGGACTAGATGCTCCCAACAAAGTAACAGTTTACGATAGGCCAGGGGTTTCATTGCTTGCTGCCCTGAAGAAAACCATTGCCGCCTTACTATTTACTGAAGGCAAGTCGTTTGAAGTTGAGCATGTGAAGATCCAGAAGCAGATTGGGGGAACTGACTGTGGCCTGTTTGCCATTTCTAACGCCCATGCTTTGTGCACTGGTCAGGATCGCGCCTGCGTCCGCTGGGACCAGCGCAGTATGCGTACTCACTTTGCAGCCTGTGTGCTATAATTATTACTGTGCCAATCACGTCTTTTCCTTGGTCCCAGGTTAAGCGAGCTGCCAGTGGAGGCATCAAATGGACAACAGCGGTAGAAGTTTTCTGCTATTGCAGGCAACCTGAAGGACAGAAGGGTACAGTGACAGAAGGGTACAGTGTCAGCATTGCAAGAAGCATTGCACACTTCACCTTCTGCACTTTTCTCAGATAAAGTTGCCGTGTTCTCTTGCTTAAAGTGTACTTAGGCTTTTTCTCTTCTTTTCTCTTTCAGATCAACAGAGGAGCTGTGCAGAAGTTTGTTCGTACATGTTTGTTTTTCATGTTGAGTGTTTTTTGTAAGATTGTTTGATTTTTGTGTTTTGTAGCTACATGAATTAACTTTTACATTTGTCATTTACTGAAATATTAGGAAGGTTTTCACTTAAACATGCAAATGTCTTGCCTATTTTATAGGTTGCAGTTATTTATTTAGCTTTACTTTGTCTTCCGATGTAATTTTTTAGGTCACAGATTTTGATTTAGCTTTACTTTTGTCTTCAGATGTAATTTTTCATTTGAGGGGTGTAGCTTCTAACACCTGAACTTCTTGCTCTTCAGGGATACTTTTTTGTAAGGCTACTTGCTAATTTGTAGGTATATTTTATATTTGTGTTTTAAGGGGGAAGCTAAGGCCAACAAAAATAAAGTCGGTCTGTTGTCAGACCAAAGTTCCAGAATTGATGCGACGATGCGGTTTTTTTGGTGGCTTTATTATTTGTTAATGATTGGACTTTACTGCCGTCACATGACGCAATGCCGATAGGTCCAAGAGATTCACTCCACAAACAACGGACGCGGAAATAAGTGGCATATTACATGTATTTAGACACGCTATATTCACAATCACAAATACAATACGTGTGTACTGTGAAGTTGACTAGCCGCCATTGTAGGTTGATCAGCTGCCAGCAACTTCGTACCCATGTTCTACTATCATTAGCTAGCGCAGACAATTTTGAAAAAATATGACGCGCACGATCAAAATCTACGCGCGCGTCATATTAGAGACCGATTCTTTTTGATGGGGCCAAACACTTGCTAATTTCTTGGCTGGTCAGTTCATTTATTTACAAAAGGGTCGAATGAAAACATGATTGCAGATAATATAAATAAAAAAATAAAAGAAGTTGTTGCAAGTTCAACTGATGAGTCATGAATTTGACTAAAGGACAATCAGCAGCCCTGGAACTATGGAGGCTAAAAACATTTGACAAATTCTTGCAATATTTTCAAATTCAGAACAAAAAAATGTAGTTGCCCCAAAGTTTTAAAAGGGTTTACAAGGTGCTGATTGACCTCTTAAACAGAACATGATGTGTTTGAACATATTGAAGAGAATACATGTATCTTAAAGCTGGGAATCTAAAAAAAATCCTGTAAAATAATAGCTGTCCCTTAATGCCTTAATACTATCCGATTCCACCTGCCATATACTGTCCGATTCCACCTGCTCAATACTGTCCGTTTTTCCTGCTAAATATTGTCCAATTCCACATGCCAAATGTGATACTGTCAGATTCCACCTGCCAAATACTGTCCGATTCCACCTGCTCAATACTGTCCGATTTTTCTTGCTAAATATTGTCCAATTCCACATGCCAAATGTGATACTGTCAGATTCCACCTGCTATTTACTGTCCGATTCCACCTGCTTAATACTGTCCTATTATTTTTGCTAAATACTGTCCGATTTTTCTGCCAATTACTGTCCGATTCCACCTACTAAAATACTGTCAGATTGTTCCTGCCAAATACCGTTTGAATTCCACCAGCTACACTGCAAAAACTGTGGTGTTAAAACTTTAACACCAATGTTTTTTTTTAATCTTTTGGAATAAAACATTTGGTGTTAAAAATGGAGTAAAATGATTCTTGAAGCATTAGCTTTAAATCTAGTACTGGTGTTGCGAGCTTTTTGTGTTAAATTTGACCTAGTGCGCGTGCGTGTGTGAAATAAAGCCCTCTGATTGGTCGATACGAAATTATGGGATATCGCTGGCGAACGGTACGCATTCTTGATTTCGGTTGCGGTACTTGGAGTTGAATCGTCATGATCGTGTTCCTGTCATGGTAATTACATTCAGTAAAACTACAAGATGCCGATTGCAAGACTTTGCGAAGCTGGTAGGAACTTTTGGAAGATCGTCCCTTATAGAGACGATTATCAAGAGTTGTTAGAACATCGAAGACTTTTAAAACTTCTTTAGAATTGACTGTCATGATTGAAAAGTGTAAAATGTCCTCAATCCTGCATATTTGCGCAGGTAATGCAAATTGAATGTGAGTGCGTAGAAATAGGATCGCATAAGTGGGTTTGAATACATGGTTTTTGAACAGGCAGTATTCTCACTGCTGTAGTGGTGACAAAGTGTTTTGTATTTGGCATGAAGCCGTCTCTAGTCGATAGTGGAATTCTTCTCTACAGCACTTAGAAATCATGCGAATGTAATGACAATATTTAATTAGTTTAAACATTGAATCAATATTTTCGGTGGGCATTTTTAAAAAGGTACTTCAGTATTTATTCAGTATAGAGTGCACCCTCGTTCTCAGGCTGACCTTCTCTTTCATATACTCGATTTACCAAGCAACGTTTAGCTCTCTGAAGTCGAGACCCAAGTGTTGTTAGTGTAACAACACTTAGTGACTCAACCCTTGCAAAAAGCTCCAGTGAATCAGACACGACAAGCAGCACCCCTTACCCAAAGAGACAGTGGCGTAGCCGGGAATTTTTTAGTGGGGGAGGGGGGGCGCTCGGGGGCTGGAACATTTCATTGGAGGAGGGGGGGGGGGGCGTCAAGCAGGGGCGTCAGTCGCTTCTCAAAAGTGGGGAGGGGCATACCTTGATCATAACTGATGCAAGCGCGAAACGCGAAGCCCTTACGGCGTGGGGCTCGGGGCCCGCTTAAGGGCCCTGAAAAAAATGGATGCTAGATGTTCTGTGGTGTGATTTGAAGCAATTTCTTACGACTTTAATCCATGCTTTAACTAATATTTTCTTGGCCCGCTTAAGGGCCCTGAAAAAAAATGGATGCTAGATGTTCTGTGGTGTGATTTGAAGCAATTTCTTACGACTTTAATCCATGCTTTAACTAATATTTTCTTGGCAAAAGATAATTATTTGAACATCGTTTTCGAGGTTTGAGACATTGAATCAGCTATCGGTATTCTGAGCTATTGGCGTGGGGTTCGGGGCCCTCTTAAGGGCCCCGAACAAAATGGATTTTCGATGCTCTGTGGTGTGATCTGAGGCAATTTCTTACCACTTTAACCAATAATTATCTTAGCACAAAAGATAATAATTTAAACATTATTTTCGAGGTTTTCTCAGCTAAAGGCATAAGAACATTTTGTGAACATTGTTTTTGAGGTTGGAGTCATTGAATCAGCTACCAGAATTCTGAGCTATAGGCGTGGGGTTCGGGGCCCGCTTAAGGGCCCGGAAAAATTTTGGATTCTAAATGCTCTGTGGTGCTATCCGAGGCAATTTCTGACCACTTTAGCCAATATTTTCTAAGCAAAAGATACATTGTAGTACATAATAGGGCTCATGGCGTCATGTAGATCAATGATAATTTTTTTAGAAACTCAAAATCTCAGGGGGGGGGGGGGGGGGGGGGGGGGCGACTGGGGGCGACAAGGTTTCAT